CAGAGTGCTGGGATAACAGGCATAAGCCACCGCACCCAGCCAAAAATAAATTTTTTTTGAGACTGGGTCTCATTCTGCTGCCCAGGCAGGAGTGCAGTGGTGTGATCACCACTCACTGCAGCCTCAGCCTACCCAGGCTCAGGTGATCTTCTCACCTCAGCCTCCCAAACAGCTGGACCACAGGTGTGCGCCATCACACCCAGCTAATTTTTGTATTTTTTGTAGAGAGGAGACCAGCCTGGCCAACATGGCAAAACCCTGTCTCTACTAAAAATACAAAAATTAGTCGGGCATGGCGGCACGCCTATAATCGCAGTTACTCAGGAGGCTGAGGCAGGAGGATCACTTGAACCTGGGAGGCGGAGGTTGCAGTGAGCTGAGATTGCACCACGGCATTCCAGCTCCACAGAACAGAGGCAGTCTATTTCTTCCCTAAATCCCTTAACACTTGCTGACCCTCCGTGGATCTTTTCATAATATTTACTAAACTTACTGTATGCCAAGAACCATGCTAAATGCTATATCTACATCACTTCATTTAATACTCATAAAATCCCACAATATAGGTGCTATTATTGCCCATTTTATAGATGAAGAGATTGAGGCACAAAAAGATTCCATTATTTACCAAAATCACACAGCTAACAATTGATGAGTCAGAATTTATCTTACCCCAGGTAGTCTAATTCCAGAGCCCATTCTCTTAATTTTTATACATTACAGTCATTCATTCAACATTACCTGAGTTCAGACACTAATTCACACACAGCAGATAGATAAATGAATAAGACAAGGTCCAACTTTCCCCTGAAAAAAATTACAATCTAGTATGGCAAGACCAACATAAATAAGTGCACTGAGTATACCCTAAGTTTGTCACCCTGAATTGCCCGTCACAACAGTATAAAGTGGTCCCATGTTTTATTTCTATATCTCCCATAGTTCCCTCATAGCAGTCTCTTAACAAATATTGAGCAAACAACTAAAGTCAACCCATCTCCTCTACTTTTGTTGTACCTGTAGCTACTGGCGACTCAAAGCTCAACTCAGAAGGGATGAGGGGATGGCCGGACACGGTGTCTCACACCTGTAATCCCAGCACTATGGGATGCCAAGACAGGTGGATCACCTGAGGTCAGGAGCTCGAGACCAACCTGGGCAACATGGCAAAACCCTGTCTCTACTAAAAATACAAAATTAGCCAGGTATGGTGGTGGGCACCTGTAATCCCAGCTACTTGCGAAGCTGAGGTAGGAGAATCGTTTGATCCCAGGAGACAGAGATTGCAGTGAGCCAAGATCCGAAAAAAAAAAAAAAAAAAAAAAGGGTAAGGGACTGAAACCTACATTTATCTCATTCTCCTTCATATCCTTAATAATATTCATTCAGTCAACAAATATACGGACTGTGAGCCAGCCACTATTCTTGGCACCAGAACACTTCAGATAAACACCCTGCTCTCATAGGAGTAACATTCAAGTGGATGCGACAATCAAACAAGCACAAAAAAATGAAGAAAGAAAGAAAAGAAAAAGAAACCAAACAAAATCATTTCAGAAAATTTTAATTGTTACAAATATTTGCATTTATCATTTAAAAATATGATAAAAATGCAAGGCATGGTGGTTCACCACTGCAATCCCAGCAATTTGGGAGGCCGAGCTTGAGACTAGGAATTTGAGACCACCCTGGGCAACATAGTGAGACCCTTGTCTCTACTTATTTTTTTAGAGACAGGAGTCTCATCCTGTTGTCCATGCTGGAATGCAGTGGTGTGATTATGGTTCAACCCATCCTTGACCTTTCCAGGTTGAGGTGATTCTCCCACCTCAGCTTCCTCAGTAGCTAGGACTACAGGCGTGAGCCACCACACCCAGCTAAGTTTTGCTTTTTTTTCTTTTTTGCTCTTGTTTCCCAGGAAGTTGTGCAATGGCCCAGTCTCGGCTCACCATAACCTCTGCCTCCTCTTGCCTCAGCCTCCTAAGTAGCTGGGATTCCAGGCATGCGCCACCTCGCCCAGCTAATTTTGTATTTTTAGTAGAGACAGGGTTTCTCCATGTTGGTCGGCCCGGTCTCAAACTACTGACTTCAGGTGATCCCCCTGCCTCAGCCTCCCAAAGCACTGGGATTACAGGTGTGAGCTACCAGTCCTAGCCAAAAAAAAATTTTTAATATGATATAAAGGGGTGTTAATTTAGACTGGGAAAGCTTAGACATGAAGGTGATATTTAAACTGGTGCATAGAGGTTGAAAAACATCTTTTACTTTCATTTTTTCAGAGAAAAGGGCAAAGCTAGAAACCCTATCCAAAATTAGAAGCCAGAATTAACCTGTCATTGACAAAGGATTGCAATATTTTTTTCCAAAATTTATACCTAATTGTTATAGGAATAGAACTCTACTCACATAATCACCATTTCTTTCTTTCTTTCTTTCTTATTTGAGATGGACTCTCACTCTGTCTCCCAGGCTGGTGTGCAATGGCGTGATCTAGGCTCACTGCAACCTCTGCCTCCCGGATTCAAGAGATTCTCCAGTCTCAGCCTCCCAAGTAGCTGGGATTACAGGTGCCCACCACCAAGCCCAGTCAATTTTTGTATTTTTAGTAGAGACGGGGTTTCACCATGATGGTCAGGCTGACCCATCCACTTAGGCCTCCCAAAGTGCTGGGATTACAGGCATGATCCACCGTACCCAACCATACTCACCAATTTTATGTAAAATTGGGTTGGTGTTTTTTTTATACAATGGCTTTATTTCAGAAAGGAAATTCTGATCCTGCTGCATTGACTTTTTTTTTACCTTTATGCTTGCTTCTAATTAAAGGTGGGGGAGGGGTATTATGGAACCACTTGCAAAAACAAGGGTTCTGGCAAAATGATGCAAAAACTTTATTTCTACAACACTTGGGGATTTTATCGTCAATGTGTAGTATTTAAATACACCATTTTATTTTACTTTTACCTTTACAGAGTTGGGGGTCCCACTATGTTACCCAGGCTGGTCTTGAACTCCGGGGCTTAAGCAATCCTCTCATCTTAGCCTCCCAAAGTGCAAATATAACATTTTAAATAATATAACCTGTAACATTCTATTCTATATTTCACAACTCCTTAAAAGCTTATTATTGGAAAGAAAAGATATATACAGAATAATGAAGAAAGTTATTTTTTACTAATGTTGCAAGGAAATGCCCACCGGATTTTACAAAATTAACACTGATTTTGTCAAGTCACTTAACTGCTCCAAGTCTCCATTTCTTACTCATGGGTAAAATGAGATGTTGACATTAGAGGATCCCTATGGGTCCTCCTAGCCCTAAACACCCCGATTCTCCTTAGAAAACAAAAAGTCCAAGAATCAGAACCTGTACTGCATGGGTACAATGCAGGTGTTATGATGAGCACCTTTTAAAATTTTGTTTTATTTGGAGCTCAGTTTTTATAACAATTTTCTTCTGATGTAACAGGTGAGGTAAGGTTTTACAAAATTCCTCAGTAGGAGTATTTCCTATCTATCAGTGAAAAGAATGGGGAGGGGAAATAAAACAGCTATGGTGCCCAGCAAGAACACTACATGGCCAAAAGCATTCCACAGCGAGCGCTCGCTATGATAGCAGAGAATCATTGGAAAGGAAACTGTAAATTTCCACCATTTTATTATTTTTCCTTTCTTATACACTCCTACAGAGAAAAGCCTAGTTTTAATCTTCACTTAATCCCCAGAGATAGCTAAAGCCACAGCAATCCTTACACATTTTTTGTTACAAAGAAATAGCCAAAATATTGACGAGTCACTGTTTTTCCACACATATCACCAATCTTAATTAGTACTGAGGACGCCGTTTTGCAAATGTCACCCACCATCAGCCCTCGCTCCGCTGCGGCCGCCACTCGCCGCCACCCATTTTTAAAAATCCATTCATGAGGGTGGTGCCTTTCATCCAAACCCAAAAACAACCATTTCCTCCCTGCCCCGTGGTCTGGGCTCCTGAAGCGTTCGGCCACGCCAGGGCCGAGCCCCGCTAGCAGGGAGACTGCAGACTGCGACGTTGGGCGGCGGACACCGAAGCTCTCCTCATCTCCCGAGTGATTTCAGGGGTTCAGGACCCGGATAAGTCCCCGCCCTGGAAGCCAAGCCCCGGGAAGGGGAGGAGTGAGGAGGCCCCGGACCCGCAGAGCTCAGCCTCAGGAAAACAGGCGTCTCCTCCCCAGCCCGGGGACGGCCCAGCCTCCCAGGTGGGTCTCGCAGCCGCCGACCGCGCTGCGGCCGGGGGCGGGGGAGGAGGACGCAGGCCGGGATCTCGCTCGTCACGACTCACCCAGGAGGGTGGGAAGGAGGACTGCAGGAAAAGGGAGCGGAGTCGGGGCGCTCAGGGAATAAAGACGAGGAAGGGAAAAGGGGACCAGGGGACTGGGGGAAGGTAACGGGAGTGAGGATGGGGGTGCGGGGGAGGGTGACGGGTGCATAGGACAGGACACCGGCTGCAGGGGGTAGAGGCGAGGCGAAGGGTAAGGACGGGTGCTGGGGGTGAAGGGGAGGAAGGGGAAGGGGGTCTGGCAAGCGGGAGAGGCGGGATGGAGAGAGGTGGGGTGGGGGGGTGGGCGCAGGGGGGAGGATGGGGCGAGGGGAGAGAAATGGGGTGAAGGTAAGAGAGGGAGGGAGGATGAGGGCAAGGAGGATGTAGGGAAAAGGGAAGACAGTGACGGCGAGGAAGGAGGATGGGGAGAGAGGAGCGCGGGCTGCAGGGGGAAGGCCGAGGTGAAACGCGAGGTGAGGGAGGAGAAAGCTGTGGAAGCGTCCGGGCCGCGGGCGGCCGGCCGGGACCTTCCTCACCCGCGGGCGGCGCCTGAATAACGGGACCCCGCGGGCCAGGAGCCTAGGGCCGAGGACGCAGGGCTGGTAGCCCGTTCGGAGGCAGGACGCTGCGAGCAAAGGCCGCGCGGGGCTCCCCGACAGCCGCAGCCCCCGCCTGCGGGAAGGACCCCAGCTCCACTTACTCTCTCCGACCACAGCTTTGAGGCCAATGGGGGCCATGGCGCTGCACGAGTCTCTAGGCTTCGACCTCCTCCTCCTGTGACGCCCGCGGACCCCGCCGCCTCCTCGGGTGGGCGCTCTGGGCCGTCCGCAGCTCTCCGCCCCGCAGCCGCGCTCGGGACCGACTGACGCGCGGAGTGGGCGCGGGGGCGCGGCGCGAGCCAGAGCGAGGCTGCCCGGCCGCCGGCGCGCGCGCGTGGGCGGGGCCAGTCGGGGGCGGGGCCTCGCATCGGCCTTCGGCGTCCCCTACTCTCCTCCGCCAATCGCACTGCGGCCCGGGGGCTCAGCCCCGCCCTCCGAGATGCGGCTGGGCGCGAGGAGGAGGCTGGCTGGTGGGGAGCCGCGCCCTCCCCCTCACCTCACGCGCCGCGCGCTCCCAGGGCGCAGGGTTCGCCTCTTCTTCCACCTCCGCGTTGGGATCCCTGGCCACAGGATACTGACTCGCTCCATCTGCCTGAAACCCCGCACGGGTCCTGTCTCCACTTGCTGGGAGCTTCCGTTTTTTCCCTGCCCTCGGAAGGAGGTGGGAGGCGAGATCTCTTACTCGCAGTGCCCACTCCCAGCCGCAGCGACGCCAGGGTGAATCCACCCACAGCACCTTCCTCTCGCTGGGCACCTGCATCCGTGCATCCACCAACACTGAGTTCTAGTGTCAAACTCCGTGCCAAGCGCCTCACGGGCATTATCTCATCAAATCCTCCAATCACTGGGCATTGCTTTTTATTTTTTGTTTACACTCCCCTTAGCTCATACCTATGGACATTGTTTTTTAATCTCCATTTTCAGATGAAAAAACCGAGGCGAGGAGATACTGAAAATAGCACTAGATTTACCTTCAGGCCGTGTAGCATCCGTTAGCTAATGTTCATTATTCATTCACTGTTATGAGTAAGCCACTATTCTATTCCCTGGAGCTACAACGATGTACAAGGCAGAATCTCATCCTGCTTATGGGGTGCTCAGAGTCTAGAAGTTTCTAAGTCCCAAATCTGATACGAATATACTGTGGGACCAACTCTGGTCTTAGTATCTCCTTCCTGGAGTCCATATGTACTAAAGCGGACCCAGGTCAGTTTTGCTCGACTTTCTTTGTTAATAGGAGACACTGCTTTTGAAATATGGGACAGGGCTTGCTTTTGGCTTCAAAGTAACACAAATTGAGCCAATTAAAAATAAAAGAGAACAAGAGAGGTAGTGGTAGTAGTAAAAATCAGTGAATATGCATTAAATTTTTGGAATACCTTTGAGCTAGGGTTTTTTCTTCATATTATTAAGACATGTAATAATATTTTACAGATGAGGAATTGAGATTCAGGGTAGATAAGTGCTTTATTAGTAAATGACAAAGGAAAGATCCAATTCTAGAATCTGAATTCTGAACCATTATTTTATACTGAGAAAAAAAAATGCTGAGGACTAAGAAGGAATTTTCCAAAGTCACAGAAACCAGTGGTGGCTGAGCCAGGACAAGAAGCCACGTGTCCTATTTCAGTCACCAGCCCCAAAACAAGCAGATTTGACCATCTTCTCACCACCACCCCAATCTACCCCCAACAGAACTTTCAGATGGCTTTACAGAGACAGAAGTCATTAATGTGTCAACTCTCTATGTCTGGGCCTTGCCTTTTGCCCAGGAAACATACTGATAGCCCCTGGGTGCATTTGGAGGAGGAGATAGTGTGTAAAGGTGGGGGCACCTAGGATGCACTGGTAATGCCACATGCTTCCTTCTTCACCAGATGTAGACTCCACAGTTTCTACATCTGCCATGAAAATATAAATTCAAAGCTGGAAAATTCCCTAGCAGCTAAGGAAAAGGAATGGCCAAGGGCTCCTCTTGTCACTCATCCAGTCAACAAGGTTTATTGAGTGTGGCCAAGGTCCGGGCCATGTGCTATGGGTAAGATGGAGACAATTTCCGCCCTCAAGGAACTGGTATTCTAGCTGATGGGACAGACAGGCAACAAGGTGTTACAGCATGAGTTACTGTTCTGACAAGTGCTGAAGCAGATGGAGAAGGAGCTGTGAGAGTGGATAACAGGCCACCTGGCCCAGTGGACTGGCTGGGGTGCAGTCAGAGCTGGCTTCCTGAGATGGGGAAATGGTGGTGACAAGGTCCTGGGAGAGTGTCTAGGCAGATATAGAGTAGGTGCAAAGACCCAGTGGTGGAAAGGAGTTTGGCTCTTTCAGCAAGAGAGGGGGCATTGGGACTAGAGAGGAGAAAGCCTGAGGGGGTAGGGCAGGAGAAAAAGCCTCCAAGGGAGGCCTGGATGCAGGGCTCCAGGACTTATTTATTTATTTATTTTGAGATGGAGTCTGGCCCTGTTGCCAAAGCTAGGGTGCAGTGGTGCGATCTCAGCTCACTGCAACCTCTGCCTCCCAGGCTCAAGAGATTCTCCTGCCTCAGCCTCCCAAGTAGCTGGGACTACAGGTGCCCACCAGTGTGCCTGGCTAATTTTTGTATTTTTTTAGTAGAGACGGGGTTTCATCTTCTTGGCCAGGCTGGTCTTGAACTCCTGACCTTGTGATCCACCTGCTCAGCCTCCCAAAGTGCTGGGATCACAAGTGTGAAACACTGAGCTGGGCCAAGGCTCTAGGACTTCTTAGTGGCCTGGGATCCATGTTCAGGAACCTTCTCAAGGGTCACAGCAAATGAAATATAGCAGCTTCTTATTTTCTGCAGAAAGAAGGACAAAAAAAAAAAGTCTTTTTCTGCAGATGTGTACCTGGAGATGACAAAAATCAGAACGGATGTTTTTTAACATAGCATGACTGAAAGATAAAGTGGGGTGGCAGACCATGAATTCACCCAGGAACCCCAGGCTCTGGAGTCTCAGGTTGGGAACGCTGATTTGGCATCCAAGACCTGGTTGGAGACCTCTTGACATCTTTGAGCCTTGGTTTCCCCCTCTGTGAAATGGGGACAAATAAAACTTCCAGGCCTCTCTCCCAGGGTGACTGAGGAGCCAGCAAAATGATCCACTTGAAAGGGTAAAATCCCCCCTCAGCTATCACACAATACTACCCTTTGCTCTGTATTCTTTATTTGCTTTACCGGGAGTTTGATACATGCCAGGCACTGTGCAAAAAAGCTCTCATGAATTTTCACCGATTCTCACTACAGCCCTTTGAGGTCGGTGCTATTATTATCTCCCTGGGGCGCAAAGAGATCAAGTCACTTGTCCAAGGTCACACAGCTCTAAGCGCTGAGCCAGGACTCGCGTTCTGACTTCCTGATGCCCAGGGCAGAACGTCCAGCGCCCAGGGTGCAACCCCAGTGCCCACACCTAAGGTGAGATTCGGTTGTGTGGACAGCTTGTTGGGAGCGCATTGGCAAAGCGAACAAGCACACTTGGGAGTTGGATCCAGGTGGGTCCGCGCCCCCCGCCCAAGCCCAGCGCCAGGGCCAGCCGGGGTAGCAGCTACAGGATGCGCAGAGTTGGTCCGCGGCATCAGCCAGCGGGCCCGCAAGTGCGCCCGCAGATACGCATGCGCTTCCTGCAGCCTCTGCAGAGCCGGGTGTGGGCCTGGCGCCGAGGTGGGAAGAGTCCTGTGATTTACGCACGGGTCACGTGACGGCGGGGAGTGCTCCAGGTGGGCCGACCACTGCAGAGAGGAGCGAGGGAGAGGCTGCTGATCAGGACAGATGGCGAGGGAGCGGCCTGGAGAGACTGAGAGCTAGGAGACAGAAATAGCAATGGAGACAACCAGCGCTCCCGGTGGCCTCCAACGGACCTACTGAGTCCTTCACACGGTTTCACAGGCTTGAGCCCCTTACACACCTGGAGCCTGTTGCAGAGCCCTGGGGCCAATCTGGGCCTCTTCTCCGACAGCATCGGGGTGCACCTCCCGCTTTTAAGCTGCATCATCAGCTGCAGTGTTCCGTGTTCACCCTTACCTTCCTCCTCCTGGCCTCTGGGCCATTTGATTCCGGGACACTCCTTTAGGAGCAGTTCCTAAAGAATTCAATAAGATAATATTTATAAGGTACTTTACTCAGGACTGGAAACCTGGTAAGGCTCCAATGAATGTTAGCTATTAATATCCTTGTTAAAAATGACACGAGTATTTTGTTATGCCAGTCAAGGTTGACGAAAAAAAAACAAAAGAAAAAAAATGACACAAGGCTGAATTAAATCACTGCTAAATAGAAGGTGTGGGTTATGGAGAGTTCAGTCTGTGTCCCTAGATTCATTGGCAAGAATGAAAAGTAATTGTTTCTGTAGCTGTCACCCCACCCCCACTACCAGGCGTACATCTACAAAGAGTGGCTGGACCTGGAGTACTTAAGTTTGAGACATCCTTGCCCTCAAGAGTGAATTAACAGTTTTTTTAGTTTGAGGCCACCAGACTGCAGTATCAAACAGGCTTGGTTTTCAAAAACCCAGGCGAGGGTCTCAACTTCAAGGGACTGCAGAGGCCAGGGTAATATAATAGCACAGATGTAGTCAGCTGTAGAGTACATGATTTACCCAGAGGAACAGTGCTTGCTCAGCTTCAGTCAGTGGGTTCCATGCAGCAACTGAGGGTCTAGAATGTAGAAGTTATGTGAAATTTCCCAATGTTTAGGTGTTGCAATGAATTTTTCTTTTTTCTTTTCTTTTCTTTTTTTTTTTAAGTCAGAGTCTCACTCGGTCACCCAGGCTGGTAGGGTGATCTTGGCTCACTGCAACCTCCGCCTCCCTGGTTCAAGCAACTCTCCTGCCTCAGCCTCCCAAGTAGCTTGGATTACAGGTGTGCGCCACCATGTGCAGCTAATTTTTGTATTTTCAGTAGAGTCATGGTTTCACCATGTTGGCTAGGCTGGTCTCAAACTCTTGACCTCAAATGATCCTCCTGCCTTGGCTTCTCAAGTGCTGGGATTTCAGGCATGAGCCACCGTGCCCAGCCGGCAATGGATTTTTTTTTTCTTAACCTGTAACACAGCACCAGGATATCCTGAGAACATGTGCCCTGCATTTTAAAAATTGTTTGGCCAAACAAAACACATGAGGACCACATTCATCCCAGCACTACCTCCATGCAAACTGTAAGGAGCTGGAATACTTCCTCCCAAAGGGGGAGGTTGGATTCCGCCAAGGGCAAGAAGAAGGAGCAGTAGATACCCAGAGAGGCACTGGTGCTCCCCCACTCACATGAAGTCCCCTAGTGAGCAGGGCTTTGGACTAGGGGTGAGGAGGGCGTAAATGC